TATTATAAACTATACAAAGGATATAAATGAATCCCATGCTTCCACATATTTGTCAGTTGTCTAACAGAGAGTGAAAGAGACTAGCAAATAGAAACACAAACACACACACACACACACAAGCAGACAGAGACAGAGCTCTAAGTGTGATTAGAAAAAAGCAGAGAGGCAGAATCGCTTACTGACCAGCACAGTAAATTGGCTTCAGGTGATCGCTTGTTAAAAGACTGACATATCAGGGTGCTTGTGCATCCAGTGTGACCATTACGTAATGCTAATAAAGTTAGCTAGCCAATTAGCAAGCTAATTGGAAGTTCACAGAAACCAGGCTTCTGTCTTGGACTTTCCAGACGTCCCTCTCCCCAGCAACACTTTCCAGCTCCTCCTGGGGGACCCTGAGGCGTTCCCAGGCCAGATGAGATATGCGATCCCTCCAGCATGTTCTGGCTCCTACCAGTGGGACCTGCCTGGAACACCTCTAACAGGAGGCGCCCAGGAGGCATCCTGATCAGATACCCGAACCACCTTGACTGAACCCTTTGGACGCCAAGGAGCAGCGGCTCTACTCCGAGCTCCCTCTGGATGTTCGAACTCCTCACCCTATTTCTAAGGCTGAGCCCAACCACCCTGCGGAGGAAACTCATTTCGGCCCCTTGTATCTGTGACCTCATTCTTTCGGTTACTACCCAGAGCTCATGACCATAGGTAGATGGACCAGTGAATTGAAAGCTTTGTCTTCTGGCTCATCTCTCTCTTCACCACAACGGTAGTGAATTCAGTTAGAAGTATATGCTTGACAACAATTAGCCTTTGTCAGATATTAAAAAATGTTTGGCAATATTAGTATTGTGATATGTAAGGCCAATTTATTTGTGGCCATTCAGGCATATTGACGAACTGCTCAGTCTTTTATGTTTGGATGAAATGTGTGTCATGTTCAAATCTTCTCAGTGAAGAGTAGTCTCTAAAAGAACACTTAGACCAGCATGGGACTGTCATGTTCTTGACTGGTACCAGTCTAACAAAAGGACCTTTGTGTAAAGAGCTGTTTTAGGGCAGAGTGATGCACCATGTGGGATAATCCACTGCATTTACATGGACACATTACCACAAAATAACACTGAGCATTAAGAAAATGTACATATAATGCCATTGCAGGTTTCCCTGTGTTTGGGATCTCCATAATGAGAGATGATACTCTCCTAGTATCAGTGTTTGGCTGAACCAGGATATATTTCCTGGAAGAGATAATCCATTGTGTCACTTGGCCACATGCCATGATTCCCTGTGTTTACATAAATCTGGTAGGCTCCATCAACGTCTAACACCAGGTGCTCCTGACAGGAAGTAAGAGGAGAGAGCATCATCCCAAAGTTAAATACAGCAACTTTGCCACTGACGCATTTTAGGGATGAAAATTTAATGATCAACTTCTGTGGCACGCTAACAGCCCGCATCGTCTGAGCTCAGAATGCTGCACTTTCCTCCTTTAGTTTGGGTCGTTTGTCTGCATGAAAATGACACAATTCACTGAAGAGATGCCTGGAAACGATCCCAGACACAATGTATTATGAAAGGGTGATACAAGACTGAAATGGTGTTTACATTGCTGCTCGAATTCTGCAATTTTCAACTGGCAAGAAAATCCACAGAAGAGTTCAGACAAGTCCATGCCATAGTTACAGGAAGGAGAATCACAGGTATTGTGTCTGTAAGCTTGAAACATTTAGCAACAGAAGAGGCAGCAGCTTATGGGTTTTATTGTTCTAGATCCAGGCTTACACGTACAGTAGACTAAGGCGTGAGATTAAAAATGACTCAACTCAACTTTTTAGTCCGTTGTTCTTAAATGTCGTCTTCGCGTTCAGCAAGTCCCTCTCACCATATGCAGAGGCTTCACTGTGACCCTTTCACATTAATCCAACGGATTGAGCTCAAATGACCCAGATTGAGTTTTCTGCCGGTGATGCCAGCAGCTTTGTGCACGCAAAGAACATTTAGGGGGAAGACTGCATCTGATGCTGGGAGAGTGAAAGTCAATGTACAGAAAATCAATCTGCTGCCATTCTGACCGACATTTGGACAGCTTTAAACACTCTGAGAACAACAGAGTATTTCTCTCGTTTCAGCACAATCAGCGCTTCCCTCAGCGCTTATGCTCACATTAACAGTGACTGTATCTGCTTTATGACTGCGTGTTTTACTCTGTTATGTGTATTCTGTTTTTATTGCTTTTAGCTTGTTTCATTCGCTTTGTGTTTTATTTGGTTTTGTAAAGCACTTTGTAATTGTAATTTTTAAAGGTGCTACATAAATAAACTTAATCATTATTATTATGACACTGACACTTCAGCTTCATTCAATGCTAACATTTAACTAATTTCAACTTTCAGCTCTACCAATTTGACTTTTCGGCTTCTTTCAGTAATCGCATTTCAACTTTTTCCATTACTGCCGTTAACATCATAATATTTAGTATTTTTATAGCAGCAGCAGCAGTAGTAGTATTCAGAATAATAAAATTAGGCTTACACAAAAAAGATCATATCTAGGACCCTTGATACTCTTTATTTTTGCTTCTGAAAATCACATTTTGTGTTTTAGAGCTAAAAAATTAAAGTCAAGTGGAGCTCTCTGACCAACATTTTATATAACCATATTTTAAAATTTTATCTGAACCACTTTAATTTCTCACTCTTTAAATGAAAATTCAACTACTTTCATAGGTTATATGTCAGGTAAAATTTAACTTCTTTTAGTGCTGAAAGTTTGAATCGGCTTCTTCTTATCACTAGTATTCAGAATTAAACTAGATATAAAAATAAAACAACTACATTGATAAGTTTGATAAGTTGATAAGTTAATTTTCAAGTAAATATGTCAAACGTTATGTTATTTCAGCTTCTAATTAATATAGAATTGCTGCTTTGCTTTGTCTCTTATGATAAAATAAAACATACTAACTTAGAAAACAAATTATCCTCATTTAAAGCCCTTGTGTTTCATCATGTTTTCATTGTGGTGCTCTGGATAACTGAATGGTACATTCCAACAGTGCTCCGCATTAAGAACAGTCCAGTTTGTGCCAGAGTGTGCTTTGGGACTTGGAGGGACTATTTCCGGACACACCCTTAATTTCCTGCATTCTGGTGATTTTTTTTTTTTTTGCACCAAATTTTTACAAATAAATGCACAAATATTCCAAATATTTAGGAAGTAGTAACTATTTTGATAGATTAAGTTTTTAAGCAAAATGGTCAAGCACTGTGTTCAGCTTTTTAATCATAGGGGAGACTGGGGTTGGTTGGCACACAGCTATTTCCTGGTCCTTCACCTGCATGTTAAAAAATCTGAAAGTCATTTACTCTTTTGATTAGGGTAATATGTTAGTTTAGTTTTTGATAATGGTAGTATTGAAAGTAAAAAAGTGGTCTGTGGACTAACTGTATTATAAAACTGGGTTAGACAGAGATACTGGAAAAGTGTTACTTGTAGATAATATACAAATGAGTCAACTATATTTTTATATGATATTTGAAAGTCTGTAATGAGTGATGCTAATTGGCTAACATCATTTCATCACTGAACTGGGTCAAATGTGAGCGGGGTTGGTTGGCACACTGATTTTTGGTGTTTGTTGGCACATGTGTCAGCTACTTACAGTTTTAACTGTAGCTATATTTTGAGAAAATAAAAATATTTTGAATGATTAAAAACAGGGTCTCACTCTGTTAAGAAATCTATAAAGGACCTGATAGTCCATGCAAAAAAATAAATAAAAAAATGGAACTTGATTACATTAATTGTGCTGCCCTGATTATTGTGTTGTATATTATTGTCCAAGAGGGTAAAATCAGGATGAACACAGAACAAAAAAATGTGGGGGAGTGCCATCAACAAATAGCTTAAAAACAATGTTTGTTTTTTTTTAAATTATTTATTATTATTATTATTATTATTATTGTTATTATTAATATATTATTTGAAGGGTCAATGACAAAAATAATCAGACCTTACTACTGATAAGAATATTAATTATGCAAGAGAAATATAGACCCTTTTAGGGCCAACGTCACAATGATGTCAGTTTGTCAGCAGGAGCCAGCACCCAATTCTCCACCACAGGGCTGTAGGCTACATAGGAGTCTTAAAATGTTGTGTTGTGTTATTGGGAGCCAGAATAGAAGGAGCCATGGCTCAAAACTTAAATGTTTATTCAGGGTCATCATGTCCACCTAATCAGATATTGGAGAGGTATTAAGAGGAATGGAGAGCATTAGCACATTAGCTAACGTTAGCTTCAATAGCAAAACAAACTGGAGGAAACCGTTCAAGTGTTGTCCTCCTTTGTAAGATTGGTATAGTAATCAACCACAAAGCTTCCTGTGACATCATCCATCCACTGAGTGAGAGCATACGGATCGGCCAGTCTGGTTCCGTTGGGTTGGTGTTTACTTATTCAAGTAACACTGGCGGCCCCGGAAAGTGAGTGACCAACATGGTGTGTTTGTGAATTCAGTCTGATGCTCTACACTAAAATGAGAGTCCTGTTGGTCGAAGAAACAGAGTGTTATATTTCTATATGAATTAACAAAGGTTAAGTCACCACTCACATCACCATCCTCCACTGTCTAAAACAAGCCAACAGAACTTGCCAGCTAATGTGTGTGGAGAATTGTTTGGCCTCCAGCTAAGCCCCGCCCACCAAAACGTCACCCTGTTTACTAATAGGCTAGTTAAAGGGTCTATGGCAGAGTGAAGTGTGCCAACCAACCCCAGTCTCCCCTACATATACTATTTGCTGCTTTTCTCTATCTTTGGTGACTGTATAATAAATAGTGTTGTCTTCTTGGGAAATAAAATCACATTTTATGACTTTTAATGGGCCAAACTGTGAAGTGAGAGTGATTTAGTTGCAGTGTTTGTGTTTTCTGATGCTGCAGCAGCATGTGGAGCACAGAGCAACACTCCAGCACTAAGGAGGAAGGGTAAGGATGTGTGGATGTAACGAGTAACGACTACAGAGTATGACTGAGTCAATCGTGGTCTAAAATAGAAAGGGAGGCAGGCAGCGCCGCCCTCTCCAGCCCGCGGCAGCTTCACGTCAGGCAGCGGCTCACTCAGGAAATTCAAACACACAGAGCCGTCCACTACACAGACACACGCATCTCTCTGCTCCAAGGTCACCGAGCCGGCAGCCTGCACCGGGACACACACACACCTCCATTCCCCCCCGAAAGGTAAAGTAACATTTAATGCCTGTTTGTCGCTGACGGCGCTGAAAGACGAGCCTCCGCTGCCGGTGATCAGGAGGATTAACCGGGCTTTCGGCGTTTTGGTGACGCCGCGGTATGCAGAGATGAGCATGAGCTGCGATGAATGAGAGATGTACCCGGAGAAAGGGCTTATGCTGCGTGACAGTGGATGTCTGAATACATTTTGTGAGGCGTTCAGGAGCCTTTGGAGAGATGTGTTAATCCCTGTCCGTGCTGTCACGCGGGTCAGATCCTGGAGGAAATTATTTGCATCAAATCTTATGTTTGTGTTTGACTGTGAGCGCCCGGTTGAGTCCATGTAGGCCCGGAGCATTTAAACTGGCTTCATCCAGTCCCCGTCCTTACATCAGCAGCATCATATGATGAGGCTGCAGTGCTGAGGAATCACTCTGCCTCCTAGCAGCCCTAGTTTCTCTGATGGAGGGCCCAACCTGTGCAGCTTTTCACAGACTGACAGATGACAGGGAATCTATTATTATCGAAGGATGTGATGAGGAGTTTTTCCACTCAGTTGGTTTTGGTGAGCTGTAAAAATAACTCCACATAGCACTAGTTCCCCCTGGAAAATATTATCACTGTTGTCTGTTTATTTTGACGGAAGAGTTCAACGCCAAACAGGCCAATAATCAGGCCAGTCAGATGTTCACATCAGTTTTTTATTAACCTCTCTCACAACTAGATTGTTCTGGCTGAGCCTCCATCACTGTAAAGTCATAAAGTCAGAGGACTGACTCATTTTTGACCAAAACTAATAATAAAAAAATATGTTGAGTCACAAAACATGTTTGAGCCTTATAATAAAGGTAACACAGTCTATTAAATCTTAATCAGCCTATGCTAAGAGTCTAAATGAGCATTCATTATTATATTTTACCACTAGGTGGCAACGTGCACGGCACTTTTAATGATTCTTTGGTACTTCACGTTTGCAGAGCTGGCAGTGAAAGCAAACAAATCTGTCCACACACTACTAGATTCTCTTTTTTATTACAAGACTTTTATTTTTTGTGATTTGTGATGTGATCTTTTGTGTTGCGAGAATCAAGACTAGCCACTGCTAACGATGGTTGGCAATATTTTGCGGAAAAAGTGCTACGCAGTAGATGTATTACTCATATTTTAGTTGTTTAAACGGTAAAACATTTCTATTTATTCATCTATATGGCTTCACATTTTTACAATTGGAGAATGTAAGAATTTCTTTAGGCCTTCAACACTGACAGATGAAAATTAAAATGTTCAAAAAAATGATAGTAATTTCCACAGGGAGCCACTGGAGGGGGCTAAAGAGCCACGTGTCTCCGGAGCCACAGCCCCAGACCTGAAAGTTGCTAACATTAGCTAACATGGGCTCCGTAAGCTATAGGGCTGCAACGATTAGTCCACTAATCGATGATTTATCGACTATTAAAATAATCAGTGACTATTTTAGTAGTTGACTAATAGGTTTGAGTCATTTTTCATAGAAAAGTACTATAAAAGTACCCCAAAATACTCTTACTGCAGCTTCTTACGTTCAAATATTGGCAGCTTTACACACTCTCCCATGACGGTGAACTAAAACCCTTTGGCGTGAGTATGAAACAAGACATTAGATTACATAATTTTGGGGTTCGCGAGAGACATTTTTCAACATTTTAACACATTTTTCGATAAACTGATTAGTCGACTAATCGAAGAAAAAAACGACAGATTAGTCGACAATGAAAATAATCGTTAGTTGCAGCCTAGTAAGCTAATGGATAAGGCTAAAGCAACAAAATGCTTGAGTATGATATTCTGTCACCTGCACTTGCGTCTTGGATTACAGCGATATACGGTTAGCATACCGTGAATATTACTAATCAATGATATTGAGGAAAAAAAGCAACTGGATAGAGACTCACACATACTTCCATTAATAAAATGGTTTCAAGTTTCAGTTATAGTGATAAAATGTCTGTTCAACCAAAAATAAGCCTTCAAGTTCCATTATTTTAGGGGCATTCAAATTCACTTAACCTCCATAAAACAGGTCTCCTGGTAACTATAATGTTGTGTCAACGTTTTGCACAATATATTTTATAGATCAGTAAAATCGTTTCATTGTTCCAGGCTTTCTATTTCCACTCTGGCTTTAAAACAGACCTTCCAACAGAGATCATTTATGATACTAAACAGAACAATGATTTTTAGCTGCATTTTAATTATGTGAAGTTTATTTTATTCCTGTGGTGATATGATGGCTGACATTGTGGCTGATTTTACACCGATCCCATCACTGCAGCTCAGACTAACATGAGACATCTTTGTGACGATAATTGGAAATATAAACAAATGAAAAAATAATATTTGGCTTGCGTGTGATTGTAAGAGTAACATAGTTACTTAGTTAATTCTTCTCTTTAGTTACAAGTTACACAATTTAACTTGTTTAAAAGTGCCTATACACTTTTAAAATATTTTAAGAAGAGAAGACAGCGACCACTCTCATGTTTGTACGCTAAATATGAAGCTACAGCCAGCAGCCTGTTAGCTTAGCTTAGCACAAAGAATTGAAACGGGTAAACAATTAGCTTGGCTCTGTCCAAATGTAACATAACCCACCTGCCAGCACCTAAACTCACTAATTAACACATTATTTTTACTTTGCTTAATCTGTACACAAACTGAACTGTAAAAATGACACATTGTGGTTTTATGGGAAGGTGTGATGGACTATTTCTTAGCCAGGAGCAGTCATGTCCTGGAGCTAAGCTGACCTGTTGCTGCTGCTGGTAGCTCACTGTACACACATGGGAGTGATATCAAGCTTTCATGTAATAATGGCCATGAAAGTGAATAAGTGTGTATTCCAAAACGTCCAACTGTTCCTCTAAAGTCACTGTATGCAGCACTAGGACATTAATAAATCAGCAAACCACCATCTGTCATGTGCTGGAGTAGTGGTGTCCTGGGCAGAGAATGAAGTCACACTCCCTCTGTGTGCTGTAATCCGAGCATCTCTGTTGTTTGGTTGTGGTGGCCAGTCAGGTCATGCATGCATGTTAGTGCATGTTAATGCAGACATGTCCCTGTGAGTAGATTCCACTGCCTCAAGCAAGGGTGTAGGTTTCATTTCAACAATGGTGGGAATTTTAAGCATCAAACACTGTAGTTCCTGTGTTCTGGTGAATTTCTGTGCACCAATTTAGGGTGGAAATGTATTTATTTATGTAATTTATTTATTCAACAAATTTTTCTTCAAGTCTAAAACTTTTTGCACATTCAAAACATACCTCACACATCCCTGCACCCTGAGAAGTTTAGAATAAAGTAACAATATTTGGAAAAAAACTAATATTGTGAAAATAATCTTGTGATTTAATGAGAATAAAAAAATAATATTTGCTCGGCTCTACAGTCCACTGTACATTATGTTTTTGCGCTGCTGACTGGATCCTCTTCAGACTGTCTGACAGATACAGACTCCTGTTGAGAAATCTCTCTGGAGGGGGCAAAGTTTATGCTGCGGTGTGCTGCTCTTCATCAGAAGGAGAATACAGAAACTAATTGACAACACTTCTGATTAGACATAAACAGGACTGTCCTGTATTAAAAGATAAAATGCACTGCCCCTTACTGAATCAGTATGAGACATGATTTGCTTAGTATATTTGTGCATTGACTCTTTGTGTGAGGACAATGCAAACGACTTGCTAAAGTATTGGTAGGGACATGTCCTGACAGCCCATATGCAAACCTACACTCTGGACCTCAAGTATATCTGGCAGGTTCCACTGCACCTCATGGTCCTCCTATAAGCTATCCCCGCTAGCTTCACAGCTAGCATTAGCACTCTGGACCTTAGTTTAACACCTCATTACAGCTAGCATCTCAGCTAGCATTAGCTAGCTATATTATCTGCCCTATGCTCCCTCTGATTGGCTAGTCGTCGTCTTCGTTGGTTGGATTGGTTAGGTTTAGGCATGAGGAGTGGTACTGGTTCGGTTAAGAATCTCAGGGTAAACCAACTGCAGGCAGAGTCAAGCAGAGTAGGGTGGGTAATGCCTTCACCATCCCAGGAGAAAAATGCTAGCATCTCAGCTGACGTCAACTAGCCATATGACGTGCCTTATGTCGTCTTCATGTGTTGGATTGGTTAGGTTTAGGCATGAGTGGTGGGAATGGTTCGTGTAAGAATGTCAGGGTAAGTTAAGGCAGAGTAGGGTGGGTTATGCCTTCGCCAGCCAAGGAAAAAAAAGCCAGCATCTCAGCTAACGCTGGGTAGCCACAACAGCACTGTCCTTGTACTACGTCCACGCGCTGCACAGCCACAGGGAAATTGGTTGACACTAAAGAGAGAGAGAGAAGGGAGAGAAGGGACTTGTGGTGAGACACAAGACGTGGTAAAGCGATGTTGGGGGAGGATCGCAAGGAGAGGGGAGGGTGTTGAGGTGTAGTGTGTCATCCGCTGGACCCTTTTCCACTGGCTAGCAAAGTGCCGCTGCTCTGCACTGCACTCACACTTTGGTTGCCCCTGATAATACCATCCTGAACCGTGGTGACGGACCACCCATCAGTTCTCCCCCAGATTAACACCATTATGTCTGTCGGCACTGTTGCTGCTGTTTGCGGCTGCTAGCAGCCACCTCAGTCACGTCCATGTTGAGAACCCTGTGCAGACAATCCCGCCCCAGACTCTGAGTCATAGATCCATCCAACAACGACATCACTGTCATTTGTGGGATCAACTCACAGTTTGTACCAGTTTTCAATCTAAGTAAAAAAGACAGTTTCCTCAGACAAAGTTTTCTCGCTGTTGAGGACATTTTGAAAGATATATTCTTTTACATGATGCTGTTAGTATTTGAGAAGACTCCTTTGGAAGTGCAGAAGAAACAGTGTTCGGAGGCCGTTTAAACATATTGATGGATGGGGGGTGTCACTGATTCTTTTTAAGTTAAAGTTTCACCTGGTGACCTCCAGCTTTTCTAGTTCCTGCC